TGATGGACTGTGTTTCCAGAAGAGCGGCCTCAACGTGGCTGCGCCAGCACAGAGCACGGTCGTGCTTCTCTGGAGGAGTTGCACCTCCCCAACTCCACACCATCCCCTCTGCCCACCCACTGGGGGGGCCCTCTCCTGTGGATCCTGGTCACGGGGCAACAGTAGACCAAGAACTCGCTCAAAGTACCACGGAGACAATGACCTGTAGACCGGGCTCCAGCAGTGGCAGGACTGAGGCCAGAGGGCCGGCCTGGCTGTCATTGTGTGTGTGTGTGTGTGTGTGTGTGTGTGTGTGTGTGTATTGGTTTCAGAGAAGTAGGGAAAGAGAGAAATAGAAACATCAATGATGAGAATCATTGATTGGCTGCCTCCTGCACACCCCCCACGGGGGATGGAGTCTGCAACCCAGGCACGTGCCCTGACCAGGAATCCAGCTGTGACCTCCTGGCTCAAAGGTCAATGCTCAACCCCTGAGCCCTGCTGGCCGGGCTCGGCCTGGCTGTACTGACCTTCCAGTGCTGAGTCCTAAAGCAGGCGGCACTGGTCCCACTTCCCACAGCAGGGCTGGGGGTCTGGCTTGGGCACAGCTGGGGTGGGGGCTGGGGCGGGGTCTTCCTGGCTCAGTTTCTTTCTCTTGGTCGGCGTCCTCAGGCTCTCCCCCCGGCCCCCATCTTCTGCTGAGGGGCTCAAGCCCCAGCCTTTTCCCCTTGGCCCCCACGCCTGGGTCGGAGAGGTGCTGCTGGGTCACCGGTCAGCTCCTGCAGCAGGGACCTCAGTGGGGGAGGGAAGGCCCCGGGGGCAGTGGCCTGTCCTGGGGGTCCACGCGCTGGGCAGGGGCTGCGGCCCACGGAGCAGCCCGCTCACTGGCCTCCCGCCCCGCAGACCACTTCCACATGCAGTCCGAGTCTCTGATCGGCCCCCTGATGCAGAGCATCTCGCACCAGCACTGGAAGGTCCGAGTGGCCGTCATCGAGGCCACGGGCACCGTCATCCAGTTTGGCAACGCGAAGTCGGTGGACGACGTGCTCCCTCACTTTGCTCAGCGGCTGTTCGATGACGTCCCGCAGGTAACGGGAGGCCCCTCCCAGGAGCCAGCAGGCCTGCAGGCTGGTGTGCGCTGGCGCTGGCTTCCTTTTCTTTAAGATGTTACACCAGATGCCTTGCCTCAGCCCAGGTGCCCGTTTCACTGCTTCCAGGAACTGGGAGCTGAACTGTCTGAATACATTTGTTATTCCTCAGCCCGAGCGTGCAAGGAGGACTGTGTCCTCTTAGGGGAGGAGGGAACCTCAGCTGTGTGCTTCTGTGTGCAGAGGCGTCTTCCACGTGCCCCCCTCTGAGGCGGACTTAGTGGCAAACCGGGCCTGGGAGGAGAAGGGGGGTCGGGGCTAACTCTTTTCTTTGGGCTTTAGGTCCCGTTGAGTGACAGACAGACAGAGATCGGGATGCTGGCTTTCTTTGTTGGCAGAAGCCACCTCGGAGGGCGTGTTAACTCATAAAACATCCTAAGGGGCAGAGGAAGCCTGCAGCGGGCACGCTGTCTCCCCAGGGGAGGCACGTGGAGGGGACCCCGTGCTCCCAGTCACGGGAGGGGAGGCTGTGGCCCCAGGCAGGCCTCCTAGGGTAGGAGGCTCCCCTGCCGTCGGCTCTAATGCCCCTGGGTGGTGGCATGGCCCCCCCGCATGGTGGAAGGGTTAGCCCCGTGTGTGGAGCCCGGCGTCCCAGCCTCTCCTGGGTCTCGTGTCACGTCGGTGCTTCCCCTGCCCTGCGGTCTGGAGCTGTGGGACGTGCTCGGGGTCACCCAGCTGGAGCGAGCCTCCGGCCAACCTGGTGGCACCAGGCTGCCTCCCACCCCAGGCGCACGGCGTTCTTCCAGTTACTTCGCTTTGGTGTTTTGGTTTTTGTTTGTTGTTAGTCCTCACCCGAGGGTACTTTCCCATTGATTTTTAGGGCGAGTGAAGGAGAGAGGGAGAGACAGAAACATTGACGGGTTGCCTCCTGCACACGCCCCTGACCAGGGTCTGCGCCAGGGAGGAGCCTGCAACCCAGGTATGTGCCCTTAACTGGAATCGAACCCGGGACCTTTGATCCACAGGCCAAAGCTCAGCCAAACTGGCTAGGGTTTGTTTTAGTTTTTTTAAACACCTCTATTAAGCTGTAATTCACATAACATACAGTTTATTTAACGTGTTCAATGTTTTTGATATATTACATTATTTTTAAATTTTTGGTAAAATATATGGAACGTGGCCTGGCCGGCGTGGCTCAGTGATTAGAGCGTTGGCTCGCGCATCAAAGGGTCTCGGGTTCACTTCCAGGTCAAGGGCACATACCTGGGTTGCAGGTTTGATCTCTGTCCCTGATCGGGGCCTGTGCAGGAGGCAACCAATCAATGTGTTTCTCTCACATCAATGTTTCTCTCTCTCTCTCTCTCTTTTTTCCTCCCTTCTTACCACCCTACCCCTTCCTTTCCTTTCTTCAGAAACCAATGGGAAAAAATCCTCGAGTGAGGGTTAGCCCATTAGAGAGAGACACACACACACACACACACACACACGGAAGGTTAAATCTGCCGTTTTAATTTTTTTTGCCGTTGTTGTTAATCTTGGACCAAGTTCCTGGTTGTGAACTCCATCCCAGGGGCCAGGCGGAGGCAGGGCTTCAGCCAAGCTACAGCTCTGCCCCTCCTGCTCCCCTCACTGGTGATGGGCTCTGCCCTCAGGGAACTAGACCTGGGCACCGGGTGTGTTTTGAGCTCCTTTCTTCCCTGTGGTGTGAAGGTAGGTAGAGGTGTGCCCATCACCGTTACAGACAGCCAGCAGCAGGACTGGGGGTGCCCGCCGGGTTCCCCAAGAGTCCCAGCAGGTCACCAGCAGCTGGTTAAACCCCCGCGGCCCACAGGTTCCCCAGAACACTGCAGACAGCACTGTGCTGGGGGCGGGAGGCTCGCTCTCTCCAGCAGAGGGTCGGGCCGGGGCACCGACCGGGCCCGGGATTGGCCAGCGAGCCGAGTGAGCACCTGGGAGCCCGGCCCAGCGCTGTCCTCCGTGAGCGTGCCCCACACGTGCCCTCGGCGCTGTCTGTCTGCCCAGCGTGAAGCTTGCTCTCTGCCCCGCAGGTCCGGCAGGCGGTGACCCGCGTGGTGGGCGGCTGGCTGCTGGCGCTGCGGGACCGGTACTCCTTCTTCCACAAGCTCATCCCCCTGCTGCTCAGCAGCCTCGACGACGAGATGCCGCACATCGTGTGAGTGACGGGGACTCGGGCCTCCCGTCCAGGTGCAGGGAGGTGGGCTGACCACCCCGTCCCTGTGGGCTGGTTGTCAGGGACCCGCCTTCCCGACCCCGTCCCTGACAACCCGTCCCTGACAACAGTGTCGTGTGCTCACGGAGCCCAGCCTGCCCTTGGTCTGAATGTGTGAGGTCACGTGGCATAAAAGGGCTCTGTGGTTTTTTAAATGTAATTTTCCTACTTAACACTTTGGGCACAGACCTCAGTCGGCTCTCGGTGCTGTCGGTAAAGTGCGCAGGCGCCCGGCAATCCTGGCCCGTCCTCCCTGACTGTCCCTGTGTCCGTCTGTCTGTCCGACGCAGGCAGGAGGCCGCCAGCCTCTGGGAGGAGGCCGGGCTGCAGTGGCAGAAGGAGAACGAGGAGGACCTCAAGGACAAGCTGGACTTCGCCTCCCCCCCACCTGCCCATCACCCCTCGCCAGGTGGGTGCCGCCTTCCCGGACGGTGACTTGGGTGGGGCAGCCTGAGAGCCTGTCCCAGGAGAAGAGGGCGAGCCCGGCGTGGAGCTGGAGCCGGGCCTGCGCGGGGCTCGTCGCTGGGCGCCTCCCCTCCCGGCCAGTCTGTGTGTCTGTCTCCACTTGAGGGACATCTCGGTCGGTCATGTTGGTGACGTCCTGTGAGGCCAGCGTCCCCACCTGCACACAGGTTCTGCGTGACTGTCCCCCCCGGCAGATGCTGAGCCGCGGGCTGGGGGCCGGGGCTGGGTGGGGGCTGCCCCGTGTGTGCCCGAGGCCCGGGCACGGTGAGGCCTGTCGCCTCGTGGGTGTTGGGCAGGACCGCACAGGGTGTTGAGCTGGGTTCTCTGTCCTGTTCAGGGGTGTCGAGGCTTCTCCGCCGTCTTGGACCTGGTCCTTGGTCAGACCTGTGCTGTGTGGCTCCTAGGCCCCCCTTGTCCCCACCCGGCGGCCCAGCGGGCCCTGGGCTCCCTCCTCAGTGTCTCCTCCCCCCCACCTGCCTCCCTCCACGGCAGACAGGGTGCTGCTTCTGAGTAAAAAGCTCTGCTCCCCCCGTCGTCCGAGAGGGCAGGCTTGTCTGTGCCTGCGTCCGGCACCTGGGGCAGGGGTGCGGGTGCAGGGTCGCTCGGCAGGTGTGCGGGTGACTGTCCTCTCACCTGTGAGGCGGACGGTCTGATGTGTGGCTGAGGCACAGACCTGGGCGGGGAACAGACCCGCTTTGAGAAGGTGACGTGACTGCTGGGAGGCACCGCACGCGGGCACCACGCCTGTCCAGCGGCCCCTGGGCCCGGTCTGGTCAGGGCCGGCCCCTCCTGAGGACACAGGTGTGAGGTGCCGGTCACGGCACTGAAATCGCCCTTTACGGCGAGGCCGCGGGCGGGAAGCTGGGCAGGGCCTCGCCGCTGTCTCCCTGTCGGTGTTCACCTGACAGCGCCCCTGGCCAGGAGGCACCCGGCACCCGGCAGGTGCCTGAACGGCCCAGCAGGGGCAGGTGACCGCGTCCCAGGCTCCTCTGCTGTGAAGTCGTCCCTGTTGAGACTGTTTTCCATGGTAACGCTCGAGGGAAAGGAAGCCCCCACAGCGCGGCCTCTAACACGGGCGTGGAGGCGGCTTTCTAACCGTCTTAGGAAGCAGAGCCGTTGGCTCGGTCTGTTGTAGCGCAGGTGCTCCCCGTCCAGCACTGTGTTCTCTGTTCCCACGTCTGCCCGGAGCTCGCTGCCCCGCTTTGTGCTCATCCAGGGTTCGGAAGGTGTCAGGAAAGAGCCTGATAGTTGTCAGAAACGTTACGCTGGGCGAAGACAGGAGAGGCCGCGGGAGGTGGCGGGAGGGCGGTGTGCTCCGAGGGTGAGGCCCAGGGCACTGCCCACTGTGGGCAGGAACGGGACAGGCCTCCGCCGTCCGGCAGCCATGTCGACCTGGTTCAGCTCACGGCCCAGGAGGGAACGGGTGCACACCTGCCTGGGCCAGGTCTCGGGTCCGAGCACGAGTGGCTCCTTGTCGTTTGCCTGACTCCCATCTCGGTTGACCCCTGGCCCCTGCACGGCGGGAAGGCCCACGCCGGCGCTCTCGGCACAGCTGAGCCCAGCTGAGCGCGCCTCCTGCCTGCCGTGCGGGCCTGGGAGTCGGCCTGCAGGCCAGCCATCAGACTCGGGGAAGCAGTAGGAAATCGGTTTCTGTTTTCCTGCTGCAGCTAAATTCTGCTCAGTCTCACGCAAACAGAGGCGTCAGCTCCCTGCACCGCCCTCCCGGCCGGGCCCTGCTGTCCTCTCCCTCGCAAGCTTTCTGGTTGTGAAAGTGCCAGTTGTGTTTTCAAAGAGAAGGTTGGTGGGTAACTGCGCATTCTGGGCTCCTGCGGGCCGTCCGCGCTCTGGGCGGGAAGAGGCTCATCCACACGCCTCCAGGCACCTCCCCGGGACCATTGTTGCTGCTGCCGGGCAAAGGCCTCACCTTGTGTCGCCTCAGAATAACCAGCTCTGGCCCAGCTGGTGTTGCTCAGTGGATAGAGCTCAGCCTGCGGACTGGAGGGTCCCGGGTTCGATTCCAGTCAAGGGCACATGCCAGGTTGCAGGCTGGATCCCCAGTAGGGGGTGTGCAGGAGGCAGCCGATCAATGATTCTCACTCATCTCATCATTGATGTCTCTCCCTCTCCCGTCCTCTCTGAAATCAATAAAAATATTTTTTTAAAAAAATAAAAACAAATAACCAGCTCTGCAGAGGCGTGGGGTGCAGGCGCTGGCCCTCACGCGTGGCCTGCGGCAGCCCGGCGGCATCTCCGCACGTTAACTGCTTACGTGGGCTCCAGGCACCCACTTAACATGCAGCGAGAGGAGGCCTGTCCACCCACCCGGGTTTGTGCGGGCGCATTCCCAGCAGCCCCACCGGGAGTGACCCAGGCGCCCACCAGCGGAGGGGCACACACAGGTCCCTGCAGGCACGCGTGTTCCTTGGCCACGAGGGGAATGGAGTTCTGACACGGCTGCAACATGGTCTCAGACACACGCTCAGCAGCTCGCGTACGTGACGTCGCTAGAAAGGACAGCGCTGCCGGCACGAAGAGGCTCTGAGCTTCACGGTCACGTCTCGTCTTTTCCATCTAGAGACGCGCCCAGGGCTGGGCTGTCGGGAGCTCGTCTTCAGGAACCTCTCCAAGATCCTCCCCGCCATCTGCCACGACGTCACGGACTGGGTGGCGGGGACCAGGGTGAAGGCCGCGCGGCTGCTGGCGGTGCTGCTGCTGCACGCGGAGGACCACGCCACCCAGCACCTGGAGGTCCTGCTGCGGGCCCTGCTGCTGGCCTGCGCCGACGAGGAGGGCGCCGTGGTCAGCAGCGTGAGTCCCTCCCGCCCTTCCCCGCCTTCCCGCTCCCTCCGTGCGCTCTGATTGGGCGGCGGCAGCACCTAGGGTGGCAGCCGAGGACCCAGCCCCACGGCTGAGACCAGACGCTCCCCGTCCCCAACGCCCTCACCCGCCCCATCCCGCTCTGCGCTGTCCTCTGAGGCCATCTGGAGACACACAGCCGGGGGGTGGGGGTGTTCTCGCATCCCCACACCCTGGGTCACCCAGCTGTGCGGCGAGCTGTCCCTCCTCACAGCCAGGGGCTCCAGGGCCTGGGCCCTGTGCGGTGGCCGCGTTAGGGACCCCCCAGAACTGAGCCTCCCACCAGCCAGACGCGCTGCCTGCACCCAGTGGCATCATCTCTGCTCAGGGACGTTCTTAGCGCAGCCCGGGCCTGATTCGGGCACTGGCCCGAGAGGGCCCAGGGCCGTTTCTGGTTAGAAAGCAGGCATGCTGGGGTGGCGGCCCTCAGCCCTTGGCTTCCTCCGCAGTGTACCAGGTCCGCAGAGCTGGTCGGGACGTTCGTCAGCCCAGAAGTATTTCTGAAGCTGCTCTGGCCGATGCTGAAGAAGTCGCCCTCCGCCTCCGGCCTCCTGGTCCTCGCCGCAGTCATCCGGGGCTGCCCGAGGGAAGCCCTGCGGCCGCACCTGAAGGCCATCACCACGGAGCTGGCCGGGGCACACATCCGTCAAGGCTCGGAGAACGTAAGTGGGCAGGTGGGGCGCCGTCATGTTATCCGGGAACATTTTCATGATCAAGTCCCATCGCACGCGCGTCTCTGGGTGCGTCCCAGCCCCGTCCAGGCCAGGCCAGCGTGTCGAGCCTCGAGACTGGCGCTCTGCTCCTCTGGACAGACCCATGTCCTGCACCTCCGTGTGGGCAGAGGCGCCCTGCCTCGCCCCAGACACACGTGTGCAAGTGAGAGTGCATGTGGGCGTGTGAGTGTGTGTGCATGAGTGTGAGCCTGTGCATGTGTGAGCGCGCGCGTGTGTGCGTGTGTGTGTGTGTGTGTGTGTGTGTGTGTGTGTCACACGTCTGTAGGAAGGAGGTGGTGTTTCCTACAATTACCTTCAGTAGCTGTAAGAACAGGCCGCGAGTGTCTTGCAAGAACAGCCTGAAATTTGAAAACTCCTTGTGAAGCCGAGGGGCCAGGGTGCTGGGAGCTGCAGGGCTGGGCGTGGTGCCACGGCCCCAGGTGTCCGGCCGAGCGTGCGCCTGGGCTCCGTGCAGGAACGCAGCCTCGGCTTTGGAATGCGTCTAGTGACAGGCAGCGGAAGTGAGGAACGGATTACACGGGTGGCTCACGCCGTCTCGCGGAGGCGCAGGGTGCAGGGGCCTGGGGCTCGGGTAGCGTTGTTGCAGGAGCAGCCCCTCTGTGTGTAGGTAGATTGAAATTCCCGGTTAGGTACGGAGAACTGCAGTGTTTCCTCCAGGCGTTGCCATGGTCATAGCAGGGCTCCCGTGCTAAGGACAAGCCGGTGCTAGAAAGCAAATTCCTTTTTATTTTAATGACTGTTCCTCACATATATGTTATGTTTATATTTAACAATTATGGTAAAACGGCCGCTCCTTAAACATAACACTGTGTTTATGTTTGATATAACTATTAAAATGAACGCTCCTTATATATATGGTAGGTCATTTTAGAAACTAGACAAAATCACATCCTCAAAAAATCAGTCCCCCAGCCCAGGCCTAATCGGACGGTGGGAGAAGTCAGGGGTCGGGTGTAAGCACCAAACAGCTCCCCGGGGCTGGGCATCCAGGCTCGGCAGGCCGAGCCGATGGACCCACCCAGCCCCCCCGCCACCTTGTCCCGCGTTCGTCGGAAGCCGTTTTTGTCCCTAGAGTTTTATTTCTGTGACGACGTAGAAGCACAGAGGGGTTTTCAAATGCACAAAAGCAGAATGAGCAGACCTCCAGGGCCCGTCTCAGGCGTCACTCACCGGCTCTCGCGCTCCTGTCTACCGTCCGCCACCTTTTTCTTGAACTCGGGGAGGAGCTGAGGTGTTTGAAGCAAATCCAAGATGCCCAGTCATTTCACTAGTGAATTCTCCATCACGAGTTAGCATCACTAACACATAAGAACTTCTTAAAATGTGCGTAAAATACCATTAAGCAGTTAATGAAATTAGCAAGAATGTGTTCATTCCCAATTGTTCAGTTGGCCATTGTGTAAACAATGCCCTTTATGGTTGGCACACTGGACGCCGTGGCCGGGCACCGCGCGTTGTTTCAGTGGCTCGTGGCGGCCATATCCGTGGCCCCGTGAGGTGGCAGTGGCCCAGGGACCGGGCTGACGGGCTCCCGCCCTGTTCACAGCTGCGCTACGGGGAGAACCTGCTGCAGTGCGTGCAGGCGGTGGTGTCCACGTGTGGAGAGGACTGCCGGGGGTGCGGCCTGCAGCTCATGCAAGTGCTGGTGACCGTGATGGCGCTCCCGGGGGCCCCGGGCCTCGGCAGCCAGGTGAGCCTGCTGGGGACCCCGCTTGGCTTTGTGGGTGACGATGCCCACCTCTGACAGATGGAATCACAACTGTAAATCTCACAAAGATGAGAGACGCACCCGTGAGCTGGCCTCGGGGTGCCCAGGACCTGGGTGCCCTCCAGTCGCCAGCTTCCGGGTCTCGGTGAAGGCACCGAGTGTGGGTGTCGCTGCAGGGGGCGTGGAGGAGGGTCCTCGCCCAGACCAGCCCTGTGGTGGCGCGGCTGACGCACACGCACAGCTGACGCACGTGCACACGCGCGGCTGAAGGCTGCAGAGACGCCGGTGGCGTGACTTCCTGTTTAATGTTCAGGCAGCTGCGCTGTTCGTTGGCCCTGCCTTAAGGCTTAAAACATGGACGTCCATCCCCGTGGGCCCAGGAGCTGCTGCTCCGAGAGCCGAGACAGCCGGCCTGCGGGACAGGGCTCCTCCCTCCCCCTCCCACCCCGGGGCCTCTTCAGCTTGGCTTGTTTCAGAGGCCGTCTCCGCGGGCGGCGGGCGTGAGGTCACAGCCGTGGACTGAGGTCTGCGGACAGACGTGCCACTGTCCCCACCCACGGAGCAGCGGGAGGGCGCGTGGGGGCACCCGGCCTCCCTCACCCTCTGTCCAGAGCAGCAGTTACTGTCGCCCACGGGCCTGTCGGGGCGAGAGCCGAGCAGAGGACACGGGCGGGGGTGGGGGCGTCTGCGCTCATGTGCACCAGGGCCGCTGCGTCACTGGGGGAGCGGCCGGCCCCTGCAGTCCTCGGCCCTGGGACGGCGTCCGAGGGTTTGCACTCTCCTCCTCACGGGGACACGGCCCGAGCGGGCTGAGCAGAGGAGGAGATGGACCCCGCCTGTGACTCACCCCTTCCAGGTTCAGGAGACAGAGGACGCGCTGGCCGCGGTGGAGAGCAGTGGCGACGGCCAGGACCTCTACCGCCAGCACGTGGGCCCCCTCCTGGAGTGGCTGGGCGGCTCCCAGCGGGGCTGGACGGCGCACTCCCCGGAGCTCCTGCAGTTCAGCGTGCTGGTCGCCCACGCAGGTGAGCCCGTGGCCCAGTGCCCCGCGCTGTGCTGAGCGAGGAACAAACCTTCATTTTTGAAACGCTGAGAACATTGTGCTGAGCTGGAGTGTAGCTAAGTCCGCTCAGCACGCGTGTCCGCGGCTCTCGGGCAGAGCCCAGCGTGGGCAGTCGGGTTGAGTGGCTGCTGGAGCCGGGCCCAGCTGTTCCCAGGTTCTCAGCTGTGAGTGCACGGGCCGTGCGTTCCTGTGTTGGTTCCCGTTAGTTCATTCCTGTGTTCGTGTCCATTAGTCACCGTACTGCTTCCCTGAAGCCCCTCCTGCCCGCCCTGTGCCTGTCCTTCCCCAGGCGGGTGGGAGCGGGGGCAGGTTTGTCCTGTGTGACAGCCCATCCTTGTCCCCTGCTGCTCTGCAAGAGTGTCCGTGCCACAGGGCCACGTGTTCCCCAAGCAGGTCCACGCGTCAGGGGCTCCGGGGGTCACAGCCCAGATGGGGTGCTGGGCAGGTGTCCGGGGACCAGCCTGCGTCGTGGCAGGAAATCCGGGGCTCGAGTTGGCTGCCCCGAGCGGCCTCCTAAAATCTGTTCCTGCTCCCAGCCTAAGCTCTTCCTCACGGTGGTGGCTTCACTGATTGGCACCTCGGAAAACCAACTCTTTGGGGCCACACCTCACATTCTACCCCAGAAAACACTGGCCGCACAGCCCAGTCACCTGACTTTCCTCCGACGCCCTCTCTGTGTGCGGGGGTGCATGCGTGGGGGGTGCGTGTGCCCATGGGGGGCTGGGGCCTGTCTGAGATCCTGGCGTGGCGTTCAGGGAATCCCATTGTTTCTTTAGTAATTGACTTTTGTTGATGTTTAATACATTGCTTAGCTTTAATTTTTAATAATTTGGGAAAACATAAGAAGTAGAAAGTTTACAGACTGAGTAATTAGGTGAGTGGGGGCTGAATGTCCTCGGTGACTTTTCTTTGATAATCACGTCCATGATGGGGCGGGGTCACCCCTCGCGCGGGGGGCTGCTCCCTGTCTGGTGGGGGCTCCCGCCTCCATGGGGACAGGAGCCGGCTGCTCTGTTCCAGGCCCTGCCCTCGGAGAAGCGCTGCCCACCCTGGTCCCCGTCCTCCGGAGCTGCCTGCAGCCTGACAGAGACCCCCAGATGCGCCTGAGGCTCCTCTCCGTCCTGTCCCGGGCGCTGCTGAGCGCAAAGGAGACCGTGGACTCCCAAGGGTATGTGGGCCCCCCCTCGCCCACCCCACGCGGCCGCACCCCCACGCTGCCCCCGCCTCCCCGACGCGAGTCCCTGCTGCAGCGGCTCCTGCGGGTGAGCAGTGAGTGCCCCGCACAGGGAGGCACTGCTCCGAGTCGCTCTGGTGCCGTCGTTAAGATTCCACTGAGTGGAAACGTTCCGGGAACATTAACTATTAATGTCTGTCTATTAGCTGTGCTCAGTGAAAGGCCTTTTGGCCTTTTGGCACCTTTCCACCCAGCACGGAATCGATGGAGTCGCAGTGGTGGGGGAGCCTCGAGAGCCTCTGGCTGCAGGGCCGGGAGCGGCCTGTGGACTCCTGTCTCCTGGGGGGCAGAGCCTCCAGGGCCCCGACCTTTGTTAAATCTGCAGAACTGGGTAGTGGCTCAGGTGGACGCTGGGAGCTGTGGGGACCGTCCCCAAGGGAGCCCTGCTTGTCGAGGCCGCCGTGACGTTTCCACAGACGAGTGGCCGCCCAGGCGCCCTCCTCGCTGCTACACGGACCCCTCTCCGCTGGGCCTCCAGCCAGACATCAGTCAGGAGCTTCGATTTCCGGCTTGTCTGCAGAAACCGGGCTGAGGGGGGACCATGAAAACACGCCACGTGCAGCCTGGCGCCGTCGCGCAGTGGGCAGGCCTTCGCGGGGTAACCTGAGGCCGCGTGAGCCCAGCCAGGTGCTCACCGGAGCCTGTGCCCGCGGGCCCGCGGGCACTCACCTGCGACCAGCGGCCGAGTGTGGACGAAGTTCCTAAAGGAAATTGTGCTGAGCTTCACGCTGGAAGAACCAGTGTTGGGGGAGGAAGCCTGCGGTTTAGTTACTTAGGGGAAGAGGGAGCACGTGGTTGGATCGTTAGGGCTTTAAAATGGCGACTGTGATGTCACTGACTCGCTCATAGGTCAGCCCTGCTCTGGGGCGAAGGGCTGGCTCCCGGCCCGCGTCCTGTCTCCGCAGACCCACGAGTCCACAGGCGCTCCGCGGGGGCGGGAGGACATGGTCCCAGGATGAGCACGGCCGTTTCCGGGGGGTCGCCCTAAGGTGGAGTGGCCCCCTTTGTGCAAAGCACTCAGAACGACAGCGAGCAGGTCCCCTCGAGCCGGGCTTCCTGATGGCTCTGCGGGGCGCACCTGTCCGGTGTGCTCTGAAGGAGGGTAGGCGGGCCCTGCTGCTTCCCGCCAGGTGCGTCCGTGTGCAGAGCTGGTGCTGGAGGCGGTGCTCACTCCGCAGCCCTTAGTGCCTCGAGGGCAGGGCAGGGTGGGACGCAGCGCAGGCCACGGCCCGGCTCCTGGAGGCCAGCGCTTGGCCCTTGGGTCCTCCAGCCTCGTTAGGGCCGCTCAGAGCACAGGATGCTCCTGTCAGCACTGCCCAGGGAGCTGCAGCTCTGCTGACGGTTAAAGCGCATAAGTCGTCGTCCTGAGCCAAACACCCCTCCAGACCTGCACCCTTCCCTCCGACCCCGCTCTGCAGCGCCCCCTGCTGGAGGTCGCGGCCCTGCACCCCGTCTCCCCGAGCTCTCGGCAGTGGGGCAGAGACATGAGCCACTTTGGGACGGTGGGGAAGGAGTTGCTTGTTCAATAGCCTGTGTTTGGTCCCTGAGCGGAGGCCAGGGGTGCCGTGCGGAGGCCGGGGGTGCCGTGCGGAGCTGGTCCCAGGTGTGGAGGGAGCTGGCGCCTGCGTTCGGACCCCCGGTGCCGGGCTGGGTCTGGTGTGTGGTGTCCCGATGGCATCGATGTGGGTCACCGCTGAGAGGCAGCCGCCTGCTGAGTTGGCGGGACCGTCTGTGTCTCCATGTCGTTGCACTCAGGGTCCCGGGCACAGGCCTGGGGTTCCTGTCTGAGGAGGGGTGTGGTCGGGAGGAGTGACGGTGTCTCCGTAGGGTCGTCACACGTGGAGTGGCCGCGGCCTCCTCCCGAGAGCCGGAGGAGTGACGGGAAGCTGCTCGGAGCAGCGAGGGTCCTTGGGCCCTGGGCTCCTCTGGGCTCCCCTGGGCTCCTCTGGGCTCCGGACCCAGGCAGCTTTTAGGAGAGTCCAGCAGGGGCCTGGGGACTCGGCCCGGCTGTGACCACGCCCCCGCTTCCTCTGGGAGCAGAGGGCCCTTGCGCGGGTGCGCTCTGGCTCCGTCTCTGCTGTCTGTCTGCCCTTGTCCCCCTGGGCCGGGCGGCTCCCCGTGAAGGGCCCATCCTCACCTGCCTCTGTGCCTCCTCCAGGCAGCTGCACCGCTACCTCGACACCGTGGTCACGGACATCCTGGTCCCCAACCTGCAGTGGCGCGCGGGGAGGACGGCCGCCGCCATCCGCACGGCCGCCGTGTCCTGCCTCTGGGCCCTCATCAGCAGCGAGGTCCTGTCGGCCACACAGGTGCGCTGGGGCGTCCTGGGCCCGTGCGGGCGGGGGTGCAGAGTCGGGTGTTTTCCTGTGGTCATTTTGGGGGTTCTCTTAGGTTTCCACATTGAATGTTCTTCTTTACAAGATAACGATTGTAGTCACAGGAGCCTGACCAAAGGGGACCGGCTTCCTGCACTGTGTGTGCCTCTCCCAGCTAGCAGGGGGTTCAGGGAGAAGAAGGAAGAGTGTCCCCAGGGGCTCCCCTCCTGTGGGCTCCACCGGCACCGGGACAGCCTGACTTCAGTTAAAATGCCCCAGGTTTGCTCTGACACGGCAGTCGCGCTAGGAAATAGCAGGCTGTGCAGGGTTTGTGTCTCAGTGAGACTTTGTGAATAATGATTTTTAAAAATCAACTGACCAAGTTAAACAAAAATTATTCAAATTATCTAGATTTTAAAATCCAGCTTCAAGTCTGCATATGTAGAAATTTCAAAATAGCATCCAGACCCCATTGTATTTGCACCAAACCCCGCCCGTGGTTACGGCCCGTGGTTACGGCCGGTGCATACCGGCCGGTACGTGCAGGTGCACATCACGCCCGCCTTGGTGCCAGCAGGTGGAGGACGTGCGGGAGACGCTGCTGCCCCCGGTCCTGACCGCCCTGGAAGAAGATTCCCAGATGACCCGACTGACCTCCTGCCGAATCGTTAGCGCGTTTTTAAAATCCTCTGGTGGTGCGAGTGAGCCAGATAAATTCATCAAGATTTATCCTGGTAGGACATTCTTCTTTCCCAAAGCATTTGCATATATTTAGGAGCTGTTTTCTTTTACTGGAAAATTAGAAAATGCTGCTTTAACTTCGGTGAAGTTGGCATTAAGAGGCCAACTCATCAGAGACAGATACAAAGGTCACCGAGTAACTAACTCGGGGAACAAGGCAGATGGGCCGGACGTGGGTGCGAACGGCAGAAGCAGGCGGACGCTCAGGTGCCCTCAGCAGCCAGGATGCAGCCCTCGCGGGCAGGGACCCCTGGGTGCGAGCACAGGCCTGGGCGAGGCGTGCCCCACCCTCGACTTGAAACCCGGCGCCACTGCCTCTTAGGAGCCAAAGCACCAGGTGGATCTCAGATGCAGGAGCCAGATCTCGCCCCGCCAGGCGGAATCCTGAGCCCAGGAGGTCCTGCCTCAAGGCCCCGGGAAGCGGGGAAGCGAGCTCCTTCCGTCCCACCCGAGAGCGAGACGCAGGTTACCCACCCTCAGAGTTGTCTTCCAAAATGGGTGTGAGGTCCTCAAAGGTCCATGGGTTACACACAAGCTGAGAATCAAAACGGCGACGGCAGGAAGAAGGGTCGTGGGAAAAGGAATCCGCTAGGAAGTGCAGGTGGACCCGTGGGCTGAGGCCCAGGCCCAGGGCAGCTGCCTCGGGGGCAGGGCTGGGGAAGGGATGCCCGGGCTGGGTTCTTGTTTCTTAAACTGGTTTTCATGCTCTGTGCTGGCAGCCACAGACTGCGTGATTTTTAAAGATGGTTTTAAGAATTCCTGGGGATGAAAAATAGCTACTGAAACTTAAAACTTGGGGCACTGGGTAACGATGGACTGAACCTGCTAGACGGTTCGTGGGTGAGAGGTCGTGACCTCGTCTGAGGACGGCCCCGGCCACATAGGCTGCGCTGTCCTGCCACGCTCTCGGCCCCTGCGCGTGTGGTGTGTGCCAGCGCCTGCTGAGTCTCCACAGGACGCCCAGTGGTGGGGGCCAGCGTTCTTGGGGGGCATGTGAGACAGCGTATGTTCGATCAAAGCCTCACCGTGAATGGTGAGACCGCAGTGGGGGGGTGACTGTCTCAGCAGCAGCGGCGGGGGGCTCAGCAGGAGCAGCGCTGGCTCTGCTGGCAGCTGTTGTGTCTCAGTCCTCGTCTCCGTCCCCAGAGCCTCGGAGGGCGGGGCCCGCGACACCCCCCCTGTGCTGTCTGGGCGGGTGGGTGGCCAGGCCTGGCGCCTGTGGGTGACAGGCTTTGAATCTGGGCATCGCGGGGCCCGAGTGGCCAGGGCACCTGGCAGGTGTGCAGACAAGTGCAGAGGAGCTGGGGCCGCAGCGGCCCCCCCAGCACCTCGTACAGGAGGCCTGGGTGCAGGGCGGGGCCTCCGGGTGCAGGACAGGGTCTCTGGTGCAAGGCGGGGTCTCTGGTGCAAGGCGGGGTCTCGGGTGCAGGGCGGGGTCTCCGGTGCAGGACAGGGCCTCTGGGTGCAGGACAGGGCCTCCGGTGCAGGGCGGGGCCTCTGGGTGCAGGGCGGGGCCTCTGGGACCAGGCGAGCACCCGCACAGGCCTGGGCCCACCCCGCGCTGCCCTCCTTCCAGAACTCCTGAAGCGGCTGGACGATGTTTCCACTGAAGTGAGGCTGGCAGCCGCCTCTGCCCTGGCCGTCTGGCTGGAGTGTGTCAGAAATGACGGTGCCGAGGCCTGTTACCAGCGTGACGTCCAGCACCTGTACAAGGAGCTGCTGGTGTACCTGGACGACCCGGACAGCGCCGTGCAGGACGCCGTCTTGGGTAAGCCTTGTGGTGACTCCTGTGCCTGTTTGGGTTCGAGCCGCTCTACATGGCTGAGTGTCAGACGGGCGCACAAGCACAGCAGGCAGGGCAGTGGGGGTCCCTCAGGGCCACTGGACACCCCAAAGGATGCTGGTCTTTGTGTGAGGCCAGTGATAGTTACCGTAATAGAAATTAAAATAGAGTAAATTTTGAGATATTTATTAATTTGTTAAAAGTAACAGGAAGCCCGCCCTGGCCACATTGGCTCAGTGGTTGAGCATCAGCCTATGAACCAGGAGGTCACAGTTCAATTCCCATCAGGGCACAGGCCTGGGTTGTGGGTTCGATCCCCAGTAGGGGGTGTGCAGGAGGCAGCCGATCAATGATTCTCTTTCATCATTGATGTTTCTCTCTCTTCCTCTACCTTCCTCTCTGAAATCAATGAAAGCATTTTTTTGTAAATGTACCAGGAAGCCCACTCTATAGTAATAAAAGCATAATATGCTAATTAGACCGGATGACCTTCCAGACGAAACCAGGCTGCAAGGGAAGCCTGGGTCCCGGGTGCCAGAGGGAAGCTGGTGCCGGCAGCCAGGGAAGGAAGACCTACTCTTGCACGAATTCCGTGCATCAGGCCTCTAGTATTAGCATAAATAACGTGTTTCTGCAAGATGTATTTTCCAAAACCAAACACTGAGCAGGGTGTCATTGTTTTACGTGTCCATGGCATGTGAAACGTTTTAGTTTGATGTTAGTCCCATTTGTCTGTTTGTCCTTTTGTTGCCCTTGTCTGAGAAGACATCCAAAACGATATCGCTAAGAGGGGTGTCGAGAGCTTCTGCCTGTTTTAGGGTTTCAGGTCTTACATTAAGTCTTTGATCCATTTGAGTGTGTTCTTGTGTGTGATAGAAGGTGGTCTGATGTCATGTGTTTGCATCTATCTGTCCAGGTTTCCCAACACCAGTTACTGAACAGACTCTTAACCCCTGTGTGTTCTTGCCTCCTGTGTCGGACGCATCAGCGCTGTAGACACGGGTGGACTCTGGGCACTCTGCTGTCCCAGGGGCCGCGTGTCTGCTGTGCCCGGGCCATGCCGCTGTCCCAGGGGCCGCGTGTCTCCTGTGCCCGGGCCACGCTGCTGTCCCAGGGGCCGCGTGTCTGCTGTGCCCGGGCCAGGCCGCTGGGGCTCTGGTTCTGGGTCGGTGCTGACTGTGGCGCCTGGTGTTTGCTGTTTTACAGAGGTGCTCCAGGCGGGCAGCGCCCTGTTCCCCGACCTCCTGGTACGAGAGACTGAGGCCGTGGTGCACAAGCACCGCTCCCCCACCCGCTGCGAGCGGCTGCTGCAGCACGTGCAGGCCCGGCCACCCGCCCTGTGACGGCTCCGGGCAGGGCCGTGGGTGCCACCGCCGCAGGTGGGCACCAGCACCAGCCCTCGTCCCCGCTGGCTGGGGTCAGCGGCCTGCACCCCACAGCAGGGCGCCTTTTTGTCCACAGCCTAGGACACGAACAAGAAGACTCTGACAGCAAGAATGTATTTTCCTAAGGAAAACCGCAGTGTTGTGGGACAATGTTTCAAACCCGGCAATTTCTGAAATAAGGTTCTCTGAGTGGCTCTGTATTTTTATGTCCTGTTTATAGTTCATTGAAAGGTCAGCCAAAAGCCTACAGCTCATTGGACATTAAATGTCCACTGCACACTGCAGGCAGGCCCGCGCTCGCTGGCCCTCTCTACGCTCCCTGCGCTGCTGGCTGATTCCTGCTCCATCTGCTTCAGTGCCACCGAGGACGGTCCTGACCATTCAAAAAGCCAAAGGGATTTAAAGTTTTCATTCTTTCTTTGGCTTCTGTCTGTTGACATTTCAGTGAACAGACTTAAAGGAATTTGAAATCTTAAGAACTGTTAGTGAAATTTTTCCCATTTAAAATATACTGGAACTTAAAACGTTTTATGGACCAATTCAGTCAGAATCTTTTCTTAGGTCAGTGATGCTAACAGTGTTGAAAACGGGAGATTTAACCAGATTCTCGTTGCTCTCAGTGGCAGGAAAGTACATTTTGCTTTGTTCTCCAGCACTTTCTACACCCAAGTGCCTCAAAGATTTCATTTAAAGTGGTTATTATTTCCATAAGCCAAATGCTATGTTTTCTAACAATCAAATGTTAACGTTTATGCTTTGGTGTTTGACTTAATTAAAAATATTTATTATAATTGCCTGTCTTTATGTGTTTTGATAATTAGTTGAAATTTTTAGAAACCATTCATTTTTTCCTTAGATTTAACGTGGGCCTGTGGAGGGAAAGGGGTGGTCACCGCTCGCTGCAGTGCCCACTCTGGACACCAGGTGGCAGGAGCTCCCAGAGATGGCAGGGCATCAGCAAGGCTGCTCTGGGCTCTGGGGGAGGCTGGGTGATGGGAGGGGGGACAGCGGCCTGCAGAAGGGGTGTGATCTGAGTGCACACAGCCCAGGCCCCAGGGGATGTGTCCCTGGCTCCATTGACATCACCCATCTGTGTCCCCTGCTGAGCCGTGTCTATGATTGATGGCTGCAGGAATGGAGGAAGCCCTCAGGGATGGTCTTGCTCAGGCATTCGTCCCCAAACTGCCCTTTGCCTTCTGTATCCTCTGCCTTTTCCTTCCTCCACGTCACATGGGAACCTGTTAGAAATGCCAGGTATTGGGCCTCAGCCCAGACCTCCTGGATCAGAAGAGGTGGGGCCCCGTGGTCGCCTTGAGGGGACTCTGACGCCCCTAAGGCGGGAGGACCCCTGCCCGGAGCACCTCGCATTTTCACGTCCAGCCTGAAGACCCATCTTCTGTTTGGTCAGCCCGTGGGTGTCACAGGAAGCACCAATCGATGGCAGTGAGCGTGGCTGAGAGGACAACACACTCAACTCGCCGCCACCTGCTTTGTTGATGGTTTCCTTCGCTTGCAGAAAATTTTGTTTGTTCTGGGCACATGCGGGAGGCAACCAGTTGATGTTTCTCTCCCTTCCTCTCTCTAAAAATAAAAATATCCTCAGTGAAGCTTTAAAAATAAAGTTGTAAAAATAAAGTCTTGTTGAGAAATGCAAAGACTGGTACCCTCGTGTCCACAGCGGCTTTGTTCCCGGCCCAAACAGGAAATAGTGCAAATGTCCACCAACAGCTATGGATGGGTAAACAAAGTGTAGTTTATCCACTGACAGAATACTATTTATTCTGCAACAAAAAGGAGCAGAGGAGGAAGGCACACAGATGGGGCGGGGCTCACAGGCTGAGCTGGAGAAGCGGAGCAAAGGCCGCGGGACGTGGAGGGCGGGCGGGCCGAGCTGTTCGTGCTTTCCGGCCACCGCGTCCACAGTGGGCGTCTGCGGGCCCGTCACACTCCTCTCCACTGTGTGAGTGACGTTTGTGTCAACTCCTTCAGAACAAAGAATTACAACCACGAGAGCCCAGACGGAGAAGAGTCCCCGCAGCAGCCGCCTCGCAGCCCATGTTCCCCAAAGGGACGTCTTTCTTCCCGACTTTTCCGTATTCTCCAGGATTCTCCAAACACCGTGCCACCCAGACCTCCAGGCGTTCATTGCCTGTGTGACGTCTGGTGTCAGAGAAGCGATTGCTGGATCTTAGCATGGAGAGGTGGCTTCTGGGTAGCACTTCTTTTTCGCTGTTGATGCCTTTGAGTCACATGATTTTAAACGCATTTTAAGAGGCCACAGGCAGCGCTGCTGTGGCACCCGCGGCGCCTCAGAAGGGAGCTGCAGCCGGCACTGCACTCTGAACGAACCTCAGCCTCTGACCTGGCGGTGCCCTCGGCCTCGCACCCAGGGCCTCGGCCTCCTCCCAATAAGCAAATGATGGCGCCGGGAGCTGGCGGGACACTGAGGCCTGGAACCCGTGCCACGGGCAACAGCGCCGCCTCCGTGTGGTCGCCCGCAGGGTGTCCAGTGCCGGAGAGCGTAACCGGAGGAGGCGCGCGGTGTTGGCTGACAACAGGGAACTGCAGACGGAGGGATCGATTCAGTCTCGGTGTCCCTTCCGGGCCTGAGCGGCGCCTTCATCCCAGTTCCTGTTCGTTTCTTTCTGTTTCCGCTCTCCACCCTGTTGACGTTTGGCGAGGATTGAGCGGGAAGAGCGCTGACCTCTAGGCGCTGGTGACCTCTAGGCGTGACCCCGGGAGGGGGCGCCCTGAGCGGCCGCAGCGCGCGTTTCAGCCCCATGCAGGCCCCATGCGCCGGGCGCGAGAGCGTCGGATCAGCTACCTGCTCAGCTACCTGCGCCC